CAGACATCGGCAAACTGGAAACTTACGCATTTTCCTGCATCCCTTTGTTTTCAACTGAACAGTTCTGGATTACAAAAGGTCACCGAGCCCAAACTGACAACGATCCATGTGGTTATTTAAAATAACTTTTCCCAGTTCAACCACCGATTATGTCACTAGTGATCTGCATAAGTTCTTACAAACCTGTGGACACCCCAAAAGTGTTTGCCCCAGATGCTATTCAGATGGTCACAGACAAAAGCCATCAGGCCAGCAATGCTAGTGAGATGGACACTGGAAGAGGAGAAGGACTCCAAGCCTGTATTCCTTCACTAGGTACCAGAATATTGGGCCAGGGCTTTCCAAGTGATTTGAAAAGGTTTTCTAAGATTTTTCCTAATCAATCGAATGGAGAAAATATCAGGGTAAAAAGCAGATGTGTATCTTCACTGGGGCTGATTTTGGCCTGTCATTGTCTGAGAAGAAAAAAAATAACACAGCAGAAATTCCAAAAGGCCTTTTCCACTGCATTTTCTGACCCTAATCTCTCCCTCCCTGGCACAAGTAAAGAGAAAATAAATTTAGAAGAATTTTTCCCTATTTCCTGCTACAACAAAAATCTTCAAACAACTGAAAATAAGTACACTTAGATAGTCCAAGCAGTCTTGCCTTCTAACATGCTGTCTTTCTTTCCTCCCTCTCTACCACTGAAATTCATGTTCTCTATCAGACCTCGCTCAGCTGTTTGCCCCAGAAAACCACGGATATTCCGCATCACTTCTCCCCACCGCCTGGCTCTCCCACAGTTAAGCTGCCTGTGCTACCTGGGCAGGGAGAGGCCAGGTAATGAATGTGTTTGCTCTGCAACACATAATGTGACCTGTGACCTTATTCTTTTAAAATTGCATTTTTTGCATTTGTTTCTGTGACTCAGCCCTGATGTGTTATCTGTATATAACAGCAAACAGTAAGACATAATTATGATGGTAACACATCAGTTTTAACAGAAAAATGAGCCACTTTCTCTTTTCAGACACACACGCACAAACACCGTGGATGGTTTTATCTGTTGTGGTGTAGAGGGAAAGTGTTTCAACACCAGCAATACAGCCTGGTTCGGCTGGTAAACTGAGTATCTGATATGAAGCAACACAATTGTATTTCCGAATGACACCTGATACCAGCAGCCAGTGATGGGAACACTTTTAAATGTTTAATCCTAGCCATGACTAAGTACTTTTATTTTCCAGTGGGAGGACTTACCGTGGATCCTGCTTGAAAAAATCTCGGTAGAGAAATTCTGCTTCTGTTTCTGTCACTTCATTTCAGCTCTTCTGTGATTATTATTACCCCTTGCTCCTCACAAAGACATCTTCCTGAAGACAGATTAGGAGAAAACATATTTGTGAACGTATGAACAGATTTTCTTCTTATGATACATAACTCTGGCATGCAGTCAGGAAACGATGATAATCTTTTTCTCCATCTTCCCTTACTAATGAAGAGAAACTGCCTCTGGGGTTAAGGACAAAAGGTGAACTCTCCCCCAACACAATTTACACCTGCTGAGCACATGATTTTGGGCATCTAAAATTCTTGTCTTGGCAGGTGTCCCAGGGCCCAAGCCACACGCATGGAGACTTAGGAGGTAATATTTTCATCTAGACATTAAATAAAAAACAGACTCAAGAGGGATTAATTTTGTGATACTTTAAGGCATCTCATCTTTTTGCTTAACCTTGTAAAAATCTTTCATTATTCAAACTTAGGAAGACCAATCTTTACCAACCAGTAACTAAGATAAAAACACAGCTGAAAAGGAACTAAGATAAAAAGACAGCTGTAGTTGAAAAGAAGCCTAATAAAGGGAGGAGGGAACAGCCCACCTCTCTTTTGTTGGTAGCTACAGCGTGAATGGGTGGAGAACCCCTCCTGGAAAGGGAGATTGCTAGGTACATGTGACCTTTATAACAGTTTTCACTCATTCTTAGATTTCCCTTTTATGAGAAGACTAGTACAGCGCTCTCACTTTCCACCCCCTTTAAGATCTGGCTGGTTTGGAACAGTTTATGAAATCCAGAAGTGCTGGGGTGCAGAATATGTTTGTTTGGAAACTGGAGGGAGACACATTTTACACTTACATTGCCTTGTTTTGAATCAATCAAAAATGATTGTAAATTGGTACTGACAGTGCAGCCACATCTGGGTAGACAACAGCCTTGAGAGGTGGGAGGACAGGATATTTTCCCAGTTCTAACAAATTTATGATGATGCTTTGAGTATTTAAGAGACAGACGAAACAACATTTAGTGCTATGTTAGTACATATATTTGGGTATCATATGTTATATATATTAGGTAGGTATTCACATCTAGAACTTGCATGTGTTGGATCATGCTGAAATTATTTACCACAATTTGCATTTATTTTTTTTTTCCCCCTAGCCCAATAGCTCTTCTTCCTTTCTCTCTCCAAAAAACTCTGCAAAACCATAACCCCTAAAAACAATTAATCCACTTCTGGGGGGTTTTCCTTTCATTTTCCATTCTTTCTGTTCAGCTGAGGTGTTCCCATGGATTCTAAGCCTGCATATCTATGGAGTGTACCAACTCCTGCTGCCACTCAAGATCTTAATTCCTTTTAAGAGCACTACCATGTTTCCTAATGTGTCTGGGATAAAAACTGCTTCCAGCATCAGTGGCCTGAAGATCACTTACTTTGCAAAACTTCTGAAATCCAACCCTTGCGGTTGTTTACTGACTTGAAATGCCATGTAGAGAGCTGATAGCTATGTGTTATAATTGTAGCTTCCAATTTAGTTCATCTGGTTATATCTGACCCAAGAGGAGGGATTAGGTTCCTGCGGGCTCCTCAGATGGGACCTGTTGCTGACATTTAGCTGGCTGACGGGGGACTGGAGCGTGCCTGAAGGACACTGTGGGAGGGAGATGTGCCCCATCCTTCATGGCAGCAGCAGGTTGTTTTTCTGTGCCGGTAGAAAACACGTCTCATGCTGCCTGTAAAGCCTGTTGACTAAGCAGTGAGCCCAGAAGAACAGCAATAAAAGCAGTTTCTGGGAGACAGCCAAGAAGCACCGTTAGAGACACAGCTGATCTCTGTATGCTTGGAAAGCAGGGAACCACGGACCAGCATGGAAAAGGAGATCCCAAACACCTGTGGGACCACAACTGCAGTGCACTAAAACTGTAAATTTGCAGGGTAAAGTACAGCTGAAAGCTCAGCAGTGACTTTTGTGGGGGGAGGAAGGTCCTGGCTTATTACTCATGTGCATCTGGCTTTCTCACTGCAAAAGAAGGAACAGGCAGGAATGTCCAGATGATTCCCCAACAGACACAGCTCTATTTGTCAGCTGTGTCCCTAGGAGCCTGGAGCTTGGGAACCAGGATGAGAAACAAAGAGGACCATTAGAGACATAACTCTTAGCAGCTCTCCCAGGTCTCATCACTTGGTATCACAGACAGCAAGAATGAGGATACACAAAATGTGAGAAGGTAGCACCAGTCAGCATCTCACTGCCTTACCCAGCAAGTGCCTGCGGAAGGTCAGGACTGGAAATTGGCTATTTTGGAGAATTGGAAAGCTTTCAATTCAGGAAACCGTCAACAGAGAAACAGAAGCCGGCATACCTTGTGCTGCACAACTGAAGTGGGATTTACCCTACCCAGCACCTGTGCTGCCCGATTCCTCTGGGTGACAGTTGGAGTGTCACCCTGGGGTGTGCCCCTGAGGGGTAGTTGTGCAGCCGCCTGCCCTTCGGGTGGGAAGTCTGGCTTCTGTGAAAGCCTGGACTAACTGCTGAATTGTGCTTCTGGCAAGTCTGGTAGAAATCAGCAGCCCAGGGGGGTTTCATGAGGAGTTTCAGCTGGCAGATGTGTCAAGCCACTGAGATGTTGCTTCTCAACCGGCTTCGTGGCATGCTGGAGACAACAACTGAAAAGGAGATGTGGATTTCTATACATCCATGCACTGATTTTTTTTTTTTTTTTAAAGGCAGATCCTCAGAGATTTAGCACTTTTCTGGTCTAGGACTTGACTCATCCAGGTTATCGCAGAGCGGTTTGGATTGGAAGGGACCTTACTGCTTCGGTGGCTCCCGGCCTGCCGCTGCAGGCAGGGTCGCCTCCCGCCAGCCCAGGTGCTGGTGTTAAGGCTCCGTTACAGACGAAGAGAGTGTTGGAAAGGTCTTTCCCTCCGCTGCAGTGCGCTGGGCAAGCAGAGGAGGATGTGCAGTAGATAAACGGGCATTAATATAATATATGTGAACGGATTTGTGAGGAAAACCCTCTCTGTGACCCAGAGGTGAGCCACCCCCCGAGCTCCTCAAGAAGCGAAGGCGACCAGTTCGCTCAAGAACCACTTCCCAGTTCAAAGGCGAGGGCGAACAACCCCCAGGAACCGCAACGGCAGCGCCCAGAGGAGCCGCCGCCCGCCGGCGAAGG